TATGTGTACTCATATCAGTCAGTGTACTTATATCATATTATATTATGACCTAAATTTCTAAATTATCTTCATATAAACGAGAAAACATAGACTAAAATGTATGTTATTAGAATATATATAAATCATTCATTATTTTGTTATCTTTAAGCAACTTATACATTTTATACTTACTAATGTAAAACTTTGTCATAAATGAACCTAATTTTTCTTTGATGATATTATTTAATTATTGTAGGTATAGTAGGTATTACTATACATAAATATTATAAGACATGTCATGTAAAATCACCATAATATGTCATGAGATACAGTCAACTACAGTGTGATACTGGTTGTTTATATTTGCATTTTCTATACACGATAACATTTTCAAAATATTTTGATTTATTTTGAACTGTTTAGGGACATTTTCATTTTCCATTTGTTTTTAGTTTTTTTTCTAAAAATATCAATAAAATTGTATTTGTTGGTTGCGAAAGCTTGAAAAATTAATAGAAGGCTCCTAGTATATTGTTTAAAGGTAGATGAAAAATATTAAAAATCCTTAAACACAATTTTTTTTTATAAGCAATTAAAGTTCAAAAATTGAAAAAATATGGAAAAATCACGAAAATTAGCAAATTATTTTGAGTTAAGAATTTGTAAAAATTTTTCTTTTTAAATCTAAGATTTGAAAATGTAATACAAGATTCCTTATAAGATTATCTACCTTTATCAAAAAAAAAAATGTCTATAAGAAAGTCAAATTAAATTTTTATGAGCGTTTGAAATTCAAATTTTTACAACATTGGATATTCACTCGATTTCTCATGTAGCGATTTCCTTATTTTGTTGTAATTCAAAAACGAATAACTGTAGATACATGGAAATTTCACTGAATGTTTAAATTAGCATTTTCTATGAACCATACAATTTTGACTCTTTTTGAGCTGTTTACGGACATTTTCAGTTTTCAATTTTTTTATAGTTTTTTTTTCTATAAATATCAATTAAGTTTTATCTGTTGTGCCAAAACTGTAAAAATTTAATACAAGACTCCTGATATTGTTACAATATCAGTTCAAAAACATTGAAAATACATATACACAATTTTTTTTTATAAGCATTTAAAGTTGAAATTTTGACAAAATGTATCGAAATCTCGAAAATTATCAATCATTGTAATTAATAAAATATAAAATGTTCAGTTTTTATAGCTAAGGATTGCAAATTTAAAACAAAGGTTCTCATAAATAGTTCATACTGTAACCAAAAAATCTAAAAAATATATGAACACAGTTATTTTCTACAGACATTTTAAATTCAAATTTGAACGAAATTACATATTTAAAAAACTTAGAAGTTAGAATAACTATTTTAGTTATTTTGTTGTGATTGAATAATATTATTCGTGGGTACTTGAAACTTCTAAAGTGTACTATTATATATCTATGATAGTATCACGGTTTTTGTTGATGTATAATGCGTTATAAGTACCAAATGGATATTGTGATATGATTAATTTGGAATTTATTATAGGTACCTACCTATTATAGGTCAATTTTTTGTTTAATATCATAGATATGTATATAATATGTCTTATACCTAGACTCGGGCTAGACTGACATACCATCTCCGCTCAGAATCGTTTTTCTTATACAATTCTTTTATATTTTTAACTTTTTATTTTAAATATACAGTATGGTACTGACATACAGTGTAAAATATACATAATTATAATATTTTAATAAATAGATTTACAATAAATAGTTTAAATTTAAATATAATAATAATAATAATAATAATAATGACACAGTTTAACATTTAAACCATAATGGCCTATATTAATGATGTTCCACAGATTCTGAAATTTTTTTAAATTGTATTCATTACTTTTATAATGTTAAGTGACTAATATGTATGTTAACTGTTTTGTGGTATATATGTATTGTTTAATATATTATACAATATTAAAACTTATATAAATACTGTTTTATATTACGGCTGTGGTACGCAAAATTCTTTTAGAATATTAAGTGTTATATACATTATTATTTATTATATATACCAAAATATTATTACTTTTTTGAGATGTTGATCATGAATATTGTAAAAACATAAATTACACTTAAGTAAACATGGTGTGTGAAGAAAATTATTATTGAATTAACCAATAGTGCTAAACAGTTTACTAATTAACATAATATAGTCATAGTTGTCTATCATAAAGTACTGTTTAGACTTATACTATATATTAGTAATATAAAACATTATATTATTATATATTCATCAATAGAGATTGACTACCTGTTTTACATAATTAAACATATCATAAATTATTATATTTGTGTAAAGGTATATCAATTATATTAATTGTTAAATTAAATTAAATTAGTTATTACTTATTATGTTAGAAATATAAATGTTAACAATATCGCAATTTACGCAATTGATAACTTAATATGTTATAAATAATACACAATACTTTGGTACAATATAAAACTCAATAAAGTTTAAAAAAAATGTCTAATTTTATCTATACGATTATACCAAATAAATATATATCATAATATGTACTTAGAACAAAATGAATCTGATTGGATTCAGTCATTAGTGTTAATTGTATGTGTATATTTAATATTTATTATATTGGTATGATATTGGTATTTATTTCCATATTTAACCCGTAAGTGGTACGACATTTTAATAAGTAAACCAAAACAAAAACTGCAGCGGTCTATGGCACCAGACCATACCACTTACAGGTTAATTATTCAAATAATGAATCGTTATATGTACCTAAGATTATTTATTTAAGTTCAATAAGTTGACATGTATGGTGTAGACTGTAGAGTCTAGGAGAATAATAATGAATAATAAACTAACAATCTTATATTATGCTTACCTGCAACTACCTAAACACATAAGTAATACCACTGCCTAATAAATATACTAAGTGAAGTAGTACACAATATGATTGGAAATATATTAAAAAAATTTCGGTGAATAAAAAAAAAATACGGCCTCAGTTGTGAAATTGTATTTGTATATATTATAAATTATAATAATATGATGTTAAAAATTCAAATATTTTTTAATTCGGCGGCCAGTGATAAATGTTATTTGTTGTTTACTCCAAGCCAAACTGATATGATATTTTCATCCATGAAAGTGATATAAACCGTTTTTTTTTCTAGTGATATAAACCGTTTTTATTTACTGTCTGGTAGACCATAGAGTAATATAGAGGCGGCGTTCTGTTGTAATGTTGAAGTCAGAAAAGAGACGCAGCTTGCAGTGTGGCCCTTTGAAAAATTAAAAATATTGTACCATATATTTTTTTTATGTAGCGTTATCTTGATACCCCAGTTCCCACGGAGTGATAATAATAAAAAATAAAATCAGAATTCAAGACCCACAACTACAACAGTACAAGGGATGCGCAAAAACCAGAATACATCGATATATCGATGTACCGATATATCGGCGTCTAAAATATCGATACACGATATTTTATAGAACGAAAAATATCGATATATCGATTTATCGATATTTATTTTATGTGCGAATAAATAGTTATCATCCACTTATACTATAATATAATTACTGTAGCTTTATATTAAAGATATTGAAAACGTAATTTTCGTCTTCATAACATTAATGTAACATTATAATAGGTATATAACATAGAAGGAAAATGAAGGTGAAGTATAAAAGGAATTGGTAGAGTAACCTGGGGTATAATGGCGCACTTCACATTTAACAGCTGGTATGTGGTAGCCTACAAGTTTTAGAAATATTGTTATATTGTTTTCCTATCATAAATATTACGTAGATTTCAATTTTCAGGTCAAAATTTAATTTTACCGAAGCAAATACCAAAAATTCTGAATAATTAGAAATTATAACAAATGCGTCTTTTTACCCCGTTATTGGGGTAAAAGTGCGCACCTAATGGGGTAATAGGCCGCATGCTAAATTAATTCATAAAAATCTATTTTATTAAAGAATGTTATCTATTTTATTTTTATCAAATAATAAGTTATAAATATATATAATATGCATGCATAATATAAAAGTTCCTAATATAATATATAGTTAATACAGTATTAGTAATAAATACTAAGTCGAAGTAATTTTTTTAAGTATAATTATTCAATAAATATTACATAATATTATTTAATCATTTGTTGATACATCGTAGATATAATGTACCTATTAGTTTAAATAAATTAATAAATAAATAGATATAATTAATTCAATTTCTAGCTAGAAAAATTAAATGTTTATAAAAGTAGGTAATCAATTATCATATAAGAAATACTGCGCACTCTTACCCCAAAACCCACTAAGCCATTTTACCCCAATATGATTTTCTGCATAAACAGTATTGTAGTATATTCAGTTGTTATCATATTAATATTTTACTAGTATTGACATTTAGTCACCTACTTGTACTAAACGAATATATATAAAAGCAACATCTAATGTGTCGTTATATAGTACACATTACTACTTCTATACTACTCAAATATTACATCAGACGAATACAATTAATATTTTACCTCATATTGCCGCCAAAACATCATCAATTGCTGAAAAAAATGTTTTATCACGTTTGGCTATGATAACATAATCATAATAACAAAAATGTTTGACCAGATAGCAATTATTAAATTACTTATACACAATAGTTCATTTTGCCCCATGCGCCATTATACCCCAGGTTACTCTAATTATTATCTATCTATTTCGTTTTATTTATTTTCGTGGATATAATAATATGATAATAATAATATAATGTTAAAATCCTATTAGTAAAAAAAAAATAAAAATAAATATTTATTATTAAAACTATGTATAAAATTGTCGAGATACTATAATATAATGTTAAAATCTCATTAGTAAAAAAAAATATTTATTATTAAAACTATGTATAAAATTGTCGAGATATTATAATATAATGTTAAAATTTCATTAATAATAAAAATAAAAATTAATAATGGTTACCTATTTACATTTTACTGCCAATATTTATTGTCTAAAGACTGTAAAAATACTAATTTTGATAATCTTGATCCCAATAATCTGTTTCGACTTTTGGTCATTATGTTTCCGGTTCTACTAAAAAGTCGTTCCGAAGGCACTGATGTCGCTGATATAGATAAATACTTTCTGGCTAAAGTGTATAAATTTGGAAATGCGCCTTTAATATTTTCCCATACAATAATTGGTTCATCTTTGAGCCCAACAACTCCTTTATCTAAATATGACCTTATCTCATCTCTCATCAATATTGTTCTCATCTATTTATAATTTATAAAATTGGAATTCGAAAAATTTCAGTCAATAGGGGGTGTACGGTACACCGTGTACCTATATTTGTATCTATGTATCTATGTATTTAATTTAAAAGTAATAAAATATTTTTTTTTATATAAAAAAAAGCGATACTTACCTTCATTTACTTTTTCTAATATTATTTTTTTGGTGTTCATATTTTGCAATGTCGGTTGCAGTTTTCTTTTTTTTTCATTAGAATCCCGTCCTTTTTTAGCTTCCGTTATTAAATGGCTTCTTAAATTTTGAACACCACCATTTGGTGTTTTATAAGTTTTAGTACAAATATTACATTTGTACATATATTGACTTAGTTTTGTAAAATATTGGAGAATACGCGGAGAACTCCATTTTGAAATTTCATTTATGTCAGTTAGGTTTAAACTCATTTTTAAAATAATGCAAAAGAGAAACTTATATATTATTATACACAGTGCGCGACAAAAAGGTAAAGGCACAACGTTTAATACTAAGATAATTTATAGATTCTATATGTACTGGTCAACTTCGGGATATACCAAAATGATAGCAATTTTATCTTATTTTCTTGATTTATTAGATTTTGTTGCGACAAAGTCATAAAGGAAGTCGGTTTCGTAGCGTTTGAAACGGTTGTATGATCAAATTATCTATTTCATACAGTAATAATATTATCGTATATACATATATATTATCGTGCACATTGTGGTTGGGTTGTAAGTTATAATATTATCGTACATATACATATATATTATCGTACACTTTGTGGTTGGGTACATATTTTTTTTTTTACTATATCTATTTATATTCGATGATAGACCTGTGCTAATAATGGTAGTTTGTAAATTTATTATATATCGATTTTTATCGATGTTCATCGATGTTCATCGATATATCGAAACTAAAATATCGATGCGATTTTTTCGATATATCGAACACACAATATCGATGAAACGATAATATCGATATATTTTGCGCATCCCTAGTCTACAACACTTAAACCGTCTCACCGCCCTTAAAATTTTAATTATTAAACGAATAACGTTTCTTAAAAAAGGATTTAATATGTCATGGTTCTAACCGTAACCACTCCTAATGGCTAATAGCAGGCTATTACTCTATGACATAGATCTTATGGCTTATATTATTCTTATAACTTATGCTTATAACTTACAGTACTTATAACTTATGTGTATAACTAATTTGTTATGTAACGCACTTGTAAGACGGAGACAACACATGCGCCTATGCGAGTATCACGTCCTCCGTAGAACAATTTTATCATTTTTACGTATATTGTCAATATTTGAACTTTAAATGCTTATAAAAAAAATTGTGACTACCTATGCATTTTTAATATTTTTCAACTGCTATTGTAACAATCACGAACTAGTTACAACTTACAAGTAACAATATATCAGGAGCCTTGCATTAAATGTTCACGCTGCTTTAACCAACAAATAAAATTGCATTGATATTTGTAGAGAAAAAACTAAATTAAATGGAAACTGAAAATGTCCGTAAACAGCTCAAAATAAGTCAAAATATTTTGAAAATGTTATAGTGTATAGAAAATGCTAATATAAACATTCAGTCATAATGCCATGTACCTGCGATCATTTGTTTAAGAGTTGCACCAAAAACCAAAATCAATTTTTTCGAAAACAGATTTTGTCGTAAATACGGTCGTTCATTTCTCGGACTCTAGCTCCCTGGGTCAGGGTTGGTTCTTTGTAATCCAATTGCTATTACAAATAGGTTATCATAAGAATTATAGCTCCTAAAGTCATAAGTGAGTATATTATTTCCTGTTATAGAATTAAAATCTCACATATAATAGTAATTATTATAATCATTATCTCAAGTCTCGCGAGATGTTGTATAATACGATTGTTCGCTTGTGCATGTCGTAATTATATGATTACACCTCTTTCTAACCATACTACTGAAGCAGAAGTACAATATCAAGTAAGAAAACCATATGATAATTTCATAAAACAACTACAATATGTGTTGCTCTGTACAAAGCAATAACTGCAGTACTTGCAAGTATTCGAATACTTGTATTTATATACTTTTTTTTGTACCTATTTCAAATACATTCAAATATTTTTTGACCAATACCGACTATTTTTTTTTTGTATGGCGGTTCATCAGTGACTATCATTATGGAAGCGTTAACAATGGCGGGCGGTGACGATTGCTACGGCGGGAATGGAAATGGCAGGTGGGCCATTTCATTGAGTATATAAATGTATATAAAATGTCAGTGGCGGCTCGTGCCTAGGTGTGCGCACACCACATAAATTAATTAGATATAATAGTGAAGATGTATAATAATAATGTACAATAATAAATTAATTTTAATACAATATCTGTTAAACTGTATTTATTATATAAAAATACCTACATGTCAATTTCACCATAGTGTGATCATAATGTATATAACGTACAATGAAAAAAACAAACTATTCAAAACTTGAAACAAATTATTATAATAATTATTTTAATAAAACTTTTAATAAAATCTTTGAAATTGGTGTAAAATAAATATTTTTGTACTGTATACTGAATAGTACTAATATACCTACTATACACCCGCAAGCACACTCCGATCACTGTTGATAATTCAGATTATATATATCCAAATTTACCATGATAATTAATAGCTAATCGATTTTTTTCCAGCTCTTCGTTCGGTGTGGTTTTTCCTTCTGAAGAAGAGTAAGTTGCCTATTTTAACTTTAATTTTAATGTAACAAAACTCCAACTTGGATATTTTAAAATTGTTTATACCTACTATTAGTTCAATAATAAATATAAAAACAGTAACTGTATAATTTATTGATAAACAATACCTATTTTGTAAACACAAAAATCAAAATATAAAACGCATACATTTTAAATTAATATTTGTAATTTTTATAGGATCACTATTTTCAATTTCACTAGTTTATAAGTTATTATTTTATGATATTCTGAAAATTATATTTCGTTTCCGCCCTCAGTGTGGTCCAGTTTCAATGATAATTTATCCAGAACAACAAATAATTGTAAATCATTCCATGCAAATTTCAACGACCTGCAGGCTGCAGTTCTACAAATCGCATCCTAAAATTGATATTATATTAAAAAATAAATTGAATTTCAACTTTCAAGTGTTAAAAAAAAGTAGTATATATGTAGTAGCTTAGGTATAGTACACATATTTCCTTTTGCCCCCTTATTGCATAGTAGATAAGGGCCAAGGGGACAATGAGAATTTTATCATTTTTTCATGTGATATTATGATGTTATGACGTGTTGGTAAAAACTATAGATAAGGTAAACAATATTGTGAAGATAGTCTCATTTTGAATTTACATGTATGTTTATGAGTATTGCTTTTTCAAAAATCCCTTAATTATTTTTTTATTCACTATTTGTATGGATCCAAAATGGAGTGTCGTCGTAAAAAAAGGTTGAGAAACACTGCACTAGGCAATGTAATTTCAAATTTTTATAATCTTCATGCATATTCAAATGGTATATTATGGTAAATTAATTTTAAAACCATAAGCAATTAAATGCACTTTTGTATAATAATATAATCAAATTTCGTTTATATATCTTGAACCCTATATTAGATCCTTTATATTTAGTTCTACCCAGGTACTTAAATTGCCCACGTATTAAAGGTTAAAAAAAATTGTAAACATCGTTTGGTGCTTAAAACTAGGTAGGTAGATATCTAGTTTTATACTTATATAAACTATATTTAATAATTATATTCCATTATTTCAATTAAGCAAAATATAACCTTGCCTAATGGTTAACAATGCATTTTATAAATAAATATACCAGGTACGTATATGAATAATTTGTATAATATGAAAAAATATTAACTGATTTTATAAAAAGTTTGTCTACTTGGTAAATAGATTAGTAGGTACGTGAAACATATATTATGAATAGTATTTTTTACTTACCTATCCATACCAATAATGGCGTATTTTTGTCGTAAAGGAACAACATTGCCAATCCGTTAAGTCTATTCTAATAAGAATAAGAAATCGTAAATTTTACATTATGAATTGGCTTCTAGTTCAGTGGCGCAACTTGAGTTCAAATCTTGGGGGTGCTACAATCATGAATCTCTCACATAGTCAGGGGGGGGGGCTCCACACACCCTGAAATTACGTATTATCAATATTCATATTATACTGGTTAGGTTATTTTATACTATTATTCACAATTATTATACGAATATTAGAAAAAAAATGTAGCATATTTAATCTTTTTGACATAGGATTTTATAATATTAAAATGTAAAGTGTTAAACATAATTTCCTATCGATAGTATCAAATGTGTTCAATATTTTAGGAACAATAGCTCATTATACCTAAATCTGGTAGTGGTCACTGATTAAAAAAATAGAAAGGTTACCTATTCATTAAATTATTTATTTATTATTTTTTGTTTTGACATTTAAAAAATTGTATTTTTAAATATTTTTGCTTTAAACATCATAGCAGTACTACTATAGATACTACATAGATAGAAACTAACCAACGTGGATAGGAAATTCCAATAATATGTCATTTTTCCACAAAATTGTAAGGTTGTTAACCAAAATTCTGAAAATGCACAATCTGTTCTCATATGTTGAAATAACTCGATGACACTAATAATATTTAATAATATAATAATACCTAAAAGTGGCCCAGGGCCTTGCACTCAAATTAACCAGAACCCTAAAAAAAACCCTTAAAAAGTGTCATGGGACACCCGGTAGAAACGAAGTTTCTTTTCCAACAAATATTATAGATTATAAATCAGGGACAGAAACCGTTACAAATTTTAACGGTTTCGGTTTCGGTTTTGAGAACGGTTTATAAAATTTTCTGGTTTTGGTTTAGGTTTAAAGATCGGTTTTTTAAATTTTTCGGTTTTGGTTTCGGTTTCAAAAAAAGGTTTTTTAAAATATCGGTTTCAAAAACCACGGTT